GGACTGCAGAAACTAAATCCTGTGTCCTCCATCACTTTCCAATGACAAAGTCACCATCTCAAGGATGTTTCTCTGGGATCCCAGACTCAAGAAGCCACCACAGCTGGACATGGTGGCTCACACCTGTAATCTTAGAAACTCAGGAGGCTGAGGTCTAATGATCCAAATTAGGAGCCAGCCAGGGCAGGAAAGTTTGTGAAACGTTTTTTTGTTGTGGTTGATCATGGGGTCTGAACTCAAGGTTTGGGCACTGTCCCTCAGCTCTTCAGCTCAAGGCTAGTGCTCTACCACTTGAGCCACAGCACCACTTCCGGCTTTTTTTCTTTTTGCTTATGTGGTGCTGGGGAATTGAACTCAGGGCCTCATGCATGCAAGGCGAGCCCTCTACCACTGAGCCACCTTCCCAGCCCCAAGTTTGTGAAACTCTTATCCCCAGTGAACTACCACAAATCTGGAAGTGGAGGTATAGCTCAAGTAGTAGAGCTTCAGCCTTGAGGGAAAAAGCCCAGTGAGAGAGCAAGGCCCTGGTACCAGCATAGAAACAACAACAAAAACAGGGGCCGGGCACTGGTGGCTCACACCTATAGCCCTAGCTACTCAGGAGGCTGAGATCTGAGGATCACAGTTCAAAGCCAGCTTGGGCAGGAAAAGTCTGTGAGACTCTCACTTCCAATAAACCACTCAGAAAACTGGAAATGGCGCTGTGGCTCAAGTGGTAGAGTGCTAGCCTTGAGCTGAAGAGCTGAGGGACAGCACCCAGGCCCAGAGTTCAAGCCCCACGACCGACAAATACATACATACAGAAATACATAAATAAAATGAAAAAAGAATGCCTATCTTAAGTATCAAAGGAACAGACAGGATTATGCTCATTTTATAAATAAGGAGTCTCAGAACGTGAAGCAATTGCCCAGGGTCACACAGAGGCAGAACTGAGAGTCAAAGGATAATCTCCCTAGTTTGTAGCATTTGCTCATTCCTGTGGTGTGAACACTCCCCAGGTGGCCGACAAAGGTGAAGCAGATGCTCACAGTGGAACCAGGCAGGCCCTGTGCACAGCGCACAGCAAACAGAACTACTTCTTGTAATTTCACACATGGGCCCTTGGCTATTCATGGGGTAGGGCCTCAGCTCCCTGACTTCGCCCTGGAGCCTGTGGCAGACCAGCAAACATCTGTGGGTTAAAAGGACACTGGTATCTGGGTGCCAGTGGCTCGTACCTGTAATCCTACTTACTTAGAAGGCTGAGATCTGAGGATTGCAGTTTGAAGTCAGCCTAGGCAGGAAAAGCCTATCTCCCGTTAACCCCCAGAAAACTGGAAGTGGAACTATGGTTCAAAGTGGTAGAGAAATAACCTTGAGTACACAAAAAAGCTTAGGGACAACACCCAGGCCTTGAGTTCAAGCCCATGACTGACAAAAAGAAAAAGATAAAAGAGGATACTTATTCTTTGCTCACTGTGTCAACTTACCTCCCTCCCAACAGCCACATGCACCAAAATCCCATGTGGGTAAAGGATTTTCCTGACTCAACTCCGTGCATATCTGTATGTGTGCATGTGTGTATTTGCCCATACTGGTACTGAGGCTTGAATTCAGGGCCTAGGCACACTCTCTTAGCTTTTTTACTCAAGGCTGATACTCTACTACTTAAGCCATACCTACACTTCTGGCTTTTTGCTGGTTACTTGGAGAGAAGAGCCTCATGGACTTTCCTTCCCCTGGCTGACTTCAAACTGCAATCCTCGGAAGTGGCGCTGTAGCTCAAGTGGTAGAGCGCTCGCCTTAAGCTGAAGAGCTGAGGGACAGCCCCAGGCCCAGAGTTCAAGCCCCATGACCGACAAAAAAAAAAAACAAACTGCAATCCTCAGGTCTCAACCTCCTATGTAGCTAGGATTACAATCATGGGTGCCTGGCTGTCAGTGTTTATTGAGCACTTACTAGATGCAGACATTGGCACATTACACTCATGATAACACCTGAGGTGTTCTATGCAGGGCCCTGGAGCAGATGAGGTAATTTCAGACAGAACACAGAGGGAAAAAGGTTTTGTTTTTGTTTTTCACTATATGGGATTTGAACTCAGGGCTTCTCACTTGCTAGGCAGGGGCTCTATTGCTTGAGCTCCACCTCCAGCCTAAGAAGTTCAAAGCTGCAGGGGGGGGGGGCAGGGGATTTGTTTTGGTGGTAGTGAAGCATTTTTGTAAATTTATTTATTATTTATTTTTTGGGTCCGGTCATGGGGCCTGAACTCTGGGCTTGGGCGCTGTCCCTCAGCTCTTCAGCTCAAGGCTAGCGCTCTACCACTTGAGCCATAGCGCCACTTCCGGCTTTTTTCTTATGTGGAGCTGAGGAATTGAACCCAGGGCCTCAGGCATGGAAGGCAAGCGCTCTACTACTGAGCCACCTTCCCAGCTCCTAAATTTATTTATTTATAATGGGGCTAGAATTCTGGGCCTGGGCGCTGTCCCTCAGCTCTTCAGCTCAAGGCTAGCACTCTACCACTTGAGCCACAGCACCACTTCCAGCTTTTTCTGCTTATGTGGTGCTGAGGAATCGAACCCAGGGCCTCATGCATGCAAGGCAAGCACTCTACCACTGAGTCGCCTTCTCAAGCCTGCAAGGCATTTATAACAGAGATGCTTTCATGCTTATACGTACATTCTACTTGTGGTCAGTGGTATTTGTTTTCATTTTAAAGTTTTCCTTTTGGCTAAATATAAATCTTTGAATAGACTCAATTAAAAAAATATTTATTAAGTCAACAAACACAATACACAGATACTGTAAAAATGGCAAGGGATATGCAGATGACCAACCTTCATGAATGCTGTGCGTCAGACAAATAGAGCATTTTTATTTTGAGGTTGCAAGTAATACCTTGCCATTCGAATCAGCTTAGGAAGAGAAGAGATGGCGTCTTGATCAGGGCCTCTCCCAGGACCCTGGGGAGACTCCAGGAAAGCCAGCTGGCCCCAAAGTCTGGGGCCTTCTTTCCTGCAGCCCCCATGGGTTTGTTTCACTTTGCTCTGCACACCCTCTCTCAGAGCAGGGTCATTTTCTCCCCTACATGTGTGTGTGTGTGTGTGTGTGTGTGTGTGTGTATGTGTGTGCGCGCGCGCGCGCGCGTGCGCACCAGTCCTGGGGCTGGAACTCGGGGTCTGGGCACTGTCCCTAAGCTTTTGTGCTCAAGGGTAGTGATCTATCACTTGAGCCACAGCTCCACTTCTGGCATTTTTTGATGGTTAACTGAAGATCAGATGAGTCTCACACACTTGCCTGCCCTAGCTGGCTTTGAATCACAATGCTCAGATCTCAGCCTCCTGAGTAGCTAGGATTACAGGCGTGAGCCACCGGCGCCTGGGCTGCTACTACATTCTTGCAGGTGGCCACCCCTGCACAGACTGACACACAGGTGGACACACTCACATGATTTGTGTCGTTGGGGATGTGTCTGCACACCGCTAATAAGCCCCTTAACCCTAGATGTCCCTCTCTTTTGCTCTTCTCAGATGGTTGAGGAGCTAAGTTCTTAGAAATAGGGAGGATCGCCGGGCATCAGTGGCTCACGCCTGTAATCCTAGCTACTCAGGAGGCTGAGATCTGAGGATGGCAGTTCAAAGCCAGCCCAGGCAGGAAAGTAAGACTCTTATCTCCAATAAACCACCAGAAAAGCAGAAGTGGCGCTATGACTCAAGTGGTAGAGCGCTTGCCTTGAGCTGAGGGGCAGAGCCCAGGCCCAGAGTTCAAACCTCATGACCCACAGAGAGAGAGAGAGAGAGAGAGAGAGAGAAGGAGGAAGGGAGGGATGGAAAGGGGAGGGAAGACCTGGAATGAGCAGTCACCCCAACCCCTGGGCATCTGCTGCTCATAACCCCAGGCGATAGGTTTTACCTCACATATAACAATGCTAAGAGGTAGAGAATTGAATGTCCAGGCCCTGAACACAAAATGACAAAGACCTCAATTTAGGTCTGTGTGACACTAAAGCCATTGGCTAGTCTGGCATACAGGAAAAGCATTTCCCAAATTCACGGGGGACACTGGCTGCAAAGGAGAAGATTTCTCAGGAGTATGGGGATCTGAACACTAGAGAAGAGAACTCTCAGCCCCTGAGGAAAAGCCTGTGGGGCCTTTTAGTCTTAGAACAAGAGAGGAAACTCATTTGAATATAATTGCCAACAATCACAAGTATGTGGGGCCTGGCATGGTGGCTCACATCTGTAATCCCAGCCATTCAGGAAGCAAAGAGCAGAAGGATTATAGTTCAAGGCCCCTAAAAAAAAGTTAATGAGACCTCATCTCAATAAACAAGCTAGCCATGGTGGTAAGCATCTGTAATAACAGCTACAGGAGAGACAGAGAGACTAATCTTAGTCCTGTGGGAGGCATAAGTAGGAGGCTGACCATCTGAGGCCAAACTCAGACAGAAAGTGTGAGATCTTATCTGCTAAACAACTAAATCAAAACGGGCTGGACAATGGCTCAAGTGGTAGAGTGCTTGCCTAGAGCAAGGCCCTGAGTTCAAATCCCAGAATTAAAAAAATAATACAAAATAAAACGTCACAAGCAGGTGTCTAGGGACCCTAAAGGGGAACTAACACTTTCCACTTTGGGGCTGTGTACCTATCCCCCTGCATCCTAGAAGCTGGGTTGGGAGGGTCTCCCAAAGACGGAGCGGTCTCCAGGAAGCCTGAGGCCCATCCAGCCCAGGGCCTATTCCCAGGGAGACATCTTGGCCTAGACAAACCTAAACTCTACTTTGTACCCCTTTTGCCCCCCAGCAGCGGGGGGCTCCCTCAGAGCTGCCCCAGGCCAGGGGTGAGGCCTGTGCAGACCAACAGCTTCCTGGAAGGCCAAGTTCCCATCCCTATTGTCAGTCTGTCTGTCTACCTCCCAGACAGCTTGCGGGGTGACCTAAAGATCCCACCAAGCCACCTCCCTGACAATTGTCACCATCACCTTGTGTCTACGGGTGGAAACACGTGGTCTATTCTAGACCCTTCCATGAGCCAAGGCAGCAGCGTTCCGCTCCCTACCCAGCATCTCCGCCGAGAGCACTCAGAAGTCATTACCAAAGGCTTAGGCGATGACCCAGTGGGGAGAAATGAGTCAGGCCCCAGCTCTGCTGCTCCTCATGCCAGCAGCTCTGCCAGGCTCAGCTTTAGCAAAGTAGGTGCCCCGTGAAGGAGTACCTCCTACTTCTAGACCTTTCCAGCAGTCTGGTACAGCCATCAGCCCTGCCCGAACCACCAGCCTGGGCCACTAGAGTCAGGGAAGAAGCGATCACGGCAGACCCCCGCTCTTCTTCCCCCCTACCCCAGGCCCAGTCAGTGACATCCATGGGAGAGAAGATTCCGGGCCTGACCCCAACCATCAGGAACTAATTTTTGAGGGGAGCAACGGGCATCTGGTGGAGACTCATGACCACGTCGGTGTCCGTGGTGACCCGGGAGCATTTGCGGCTGCTACGTATGCTGTACAACTTTTCGCTGAGGTGTTTGCGAAACTTCTTGGTGAGGAAGCAGTAGATGATGGGGTCTAAGACACAATTTGTGCTAAGAAGGCAGAGGGTAACCTGATGGGCGTCATTAATGGCCTGATGGAAACTGGTGTAGTAGCCCAATTCGGCCAGGGTCCAGGGCAGCTGTACCATGTGGTGTGGCACAAAGCAGATAATAAAGACCCCCAAGACAGTGCAGACCATCCAGAGCGCGCGGCGCTTGCCTTCCGCAGTCTGGTGCTGCTGTACGGGCTGCGCCAGCAGCGTGCGGATGATCACCACGTTGCAGGACAGGATGATGAGGAAGACCAGGAAGAAAGCGAACACGATGAAGATGTGGATCACCAGGACTGACACGTTGCCCTTCTCATAGTGCTCAAAGCAGCGGGTGAGGTTTTCTGTGCCGGCCTTATTAGGTACTGAGTTGGTCTCATCCTGGACAAGGTAGTAGGAGGCAGCGGCCAGGATGGCCACCCAGATGACCAGGGACAAAGAGATACCCCGTTTACGAGTGGTGGCCTGAGCTGTCTTGATGGGATGGGTCACCGCCTGGAAGCGATTATAGGTGATCACGCCCAAGAAGGCCACGGAGCAGTAGGTATTGATAAAGAAGAAGCAGCCGGCCACGTTGCACAGGAATTTGGGTAGAATCCAGTTTCCTTGGTGGTGATAGTAGATGATCCACAGTGGCAGGGTGATCAAGAAGAGCAGGTCGGCGACTGTTAGGTTCACCATGAAGATCTTGATCTCATTTAGTTTCTTGGAAGGGTAGAGGCGAGCAAAGACCCAGAGCACGTAGCCATTGGCGATCACCCCCAGCACAAAGATGACGCCATAAACGATGGGGAAGAGAGTGTATCGGAACTCGGAATCCACCCGGGAGGAGTCATTTAGCTCCATTGCTCTGGGCTGGAAGGGTCAGTGGGTCATAGCACCCTGGCTGTGCCTAGAAGATCACACATAGATTGTGGTAAATAAGAAGCCAAGAGAGAGCCGGGCGCAGATGGCTCATGCCTGTAATTCTAGCTACTCAGGAGGCTGAGATCTGAACATTGCAGTTAGAAGCCAGCCGAGGCAGGCAAGTCCAAGAAACTCTTATCTCCAATTAACCAGCAAAAAACCAGAAGTGAAGCTGTGACTCAAGAGGTAGAGCACTGGTCTAGAGTAGAAAAAGTTAAGGGACTGTGCCCTTAATTCAAACCCCAATACCAGCACAAAATAATAATATTAATAATAATGAGAGAAATGATAGTATAATTCAGTGGTAAATGCCTAGGATGCACCAGGCTCTGGGCTTGATCCTCAGTTTCAATAATAATAATAACAATAATAGAAAAAAGACCATTTCAAATTGTGATCAATTTAATATATGAAAATTTAAAATAATCACAGTAAAATCTGAATAGGGCACAATCAAACTGGGCAAGGGGCTTCTCAGAGGAAGTAACAAATAAAACCAGAAACAGCTCTACCATAAAGTCAATGATGCTTAAGTCTCTACCTCCTCCTAGGGCCTACATCTACTATTTGTGACTTAAGTGTCTTCTCTTAGAAGTCAGGCCCTCAAATTGTATTAACTTTAGGGATCTGCACTCCTGTATCTCCCAGGCTAAAAAATCTAAAAAAATGAGGATGGAGGGCTGGGAAGGTGGCTCAGTGGTAGAGCGCTTGCCTTGCATGCCTGAGGCCCTGGGTTCTATTCCTCAGCACCACATAAGCAAAGAGAAAAAAGCCAGAAGTGGCGCTGTGGCTCAAGTGGTAGAGCACTAGCCTTGAGCTGAAGAGCTGAGGGACAGCGCCCAGGCCCAGAGTTCAGGCTCCACGACTGGACCCAAAAAAAAAAATAAAAAATGAGGATGGAGATTTAGAGGAAGGGTATTCCAGGTAAAAGATATGATGCACAAAAGTCCTGTAGTGGAAATAGTGCATTATGTTCTCATAAAGGGATAAGCTTGTCATACCTGCAGAACTGGCCCTAGATGGTTCCTAGGCCATGGTAAAGAGTTGGCCTTTGGGGTCTGGGTGTGGGTGGCTCACACCTTTAATCCTAGCTACTCAAGAGCCTGAGATGTGAGGATCACAATTTAAAGCCTTCCCAGGCAGAAATGTCCGTGAGACTCTTTTTTTAATTTTAATTTTTGTCGGTCATGGGGCTTGAACTCTAGGCCTGGGAGCTGTCCCTGAGCTCTTCAGCTCAAGGTTAGTGCTTTACCACTTGGGCTACAGCGCCTCTTCTGGTTTTCTGGTGGTTTACTGGAGATAAGAGTCTCATGGCCTTTCCTGCCTGGGCTGGCTTTGGACTGTTGAGCCTCAGATCTCAGCTTCCTGAGTAGCCAGGATTACAGGCGTGAGCCACTGGTGCCCACCCAACTAGCTAGGAGCTTCTTGAGAGCAGAGAGTGGATGTTTTTCATCTCTTAAGTTCCAGGGTCAGGCACTAGGGAACAAATTCAAAAATGGCTAAGTCCCTGACAACCATTCCCAGAAGCCTGGCATGAAGGAAGGGTGTCTATATATCTGGAAAAGGCAGCCGAGGGTAGAATGGGTGGGAAGAGCAAGGAGGCTTCTGAAGTCACAAAGACCTGGGTTCAGAATTGGATCATTTATTTCCTGTGTGACATTGAGCAAGTTCACTTCACTTCTCTGAATCCTGTTTCTTCATTTGTAAAACCCTACGGTCCTAACAATGGTCCCAAAGATGAGGCACAAATGGCCAGTCCTTCTTACCCCCATGACCCCTGTTGTTTGGAGCCAGAGGACTGGACTATGAGTAGCACTGATCCTGAGCTGCCTCTCCCACCAGCTCCAGACTCTGCCTCTGGCCACTGCCAACAAAGCTTTCAAAAGCTCAGGACAGGATGAGTATTTGAAGGGAGGAGGAGGCTGCTTGGATGAGCACAGTTCCCTAATGGATCAAAGCCGGGGAGCTGGCCCAGGCCCAGCCCTTGGCTGGGGGTGAGGCAGGGCCAGAGATATTCATAGAATTAGAGACTTCTGCCCTCCCAGCTCCCACCACTGTCCTATGGAGGGAATGTTCAGTCCCCATCTCCCTTGAGAATGTCCCCAACCCCTGCGGGAGACTGGAGGGAAAACACTGGCCAGTAGGGGGAAGGGACCACTGGCTGGAGGGGTGTGGTCATGGCTTGGTGGGTGGGGCCACTGGTTGGAGACCCAGAGCCAGTAACAGGAAAAAGCATGGAGACTGGATAGGGAAGTTGGGTTCATCAGCGGGCCATCCCCTGACATTTGTAGGGACAGCTGAAATCAGAAGTAGGAATGTCTAAATATTTATAAGCTATAAGTCAGACCTACATGCAAGTCTGGCCACGTGTCCACCCAGCAGCACCTTGCCAACCCTACAAACCCTCAGAGCCTGGGCCAGCAGTTGGGGTTGAGTAGAACGCACACAGGGCCCACATGAGCACCTCTTCCTGTAGTCCAAGACTAGCTCACGCCTGGAATCCTAGCACGCAAGAGGTCGAGACACAAGGATTGTAAGTTCAAAGCCAGCCTGGGCAAGACTTTATCTCAAAAACACAAAAACAAACCACAAAATATGTCTGGTCTATAGCGAGAGTTCAGTGAGTATTGGCTACTGTTAATATTACTCCTCTCCCCCAGGGAAAATCAGGGGTGCCACCCGGGTGCCCGTAGCGCAATGCCTCACCCAGCATCGAAGCCAGGGACAGCGCCCAGGCCCAGAGTTCAAGACCCAGGACTGGCAAACAAAAGACAAAAAAACCTGCCAGCAATTTACCTCTGAGCTACACCCCCAGCCCACTTCTCCCCTCCCGGAGAGGACTCCCCCGAGACAAGGTATCAGCAAATCACTAATGCCCATTATAGGACTTCCTTCACAGCAAATACACAAGAAATGTACACTGAGTAGATAAATTAGCCTCACCCAGCAACTGAGAGCTGGAGTCCTGAGAGCTAGCCCATTTTCCTCACCTATAAACATAATGGGAAAAGTATCATCACTGGCCTCACAGGATAGACCTGAGACAGATAAACCTCTAAAGTACTTGGCATGCAGTAGCTGATCAATAAATGTTATCTCCTATTCTTTAAAAAAAATATTATTATAAAGGTGATGTACAGAGGGGTTTCAGTTACATAAGTCAGGTAGAGGACATTTTTTTTTTTTTTGTCGGTTGTGGGGCCTGAACTCTGGGCCTGGGCACTGTCCCTCAGCTCTTCAGCTCAAGGCTAGTGCTCTACCACTTGAGCCACAGCGCCACTTCCGGCTTTTTTTTCTTTTTGCTTATGTGGTGCTGAGGAATCAAACCCAGAGCCTCAGGCATGCAAGGCAAGCGCTCTACCACTGAGCCACCTTCCCAGCCCTTGTAGTTCATTTTTATCTCCTATTTTGATGCTTGTTGTTTCCCATTTGTGCCACACACTCTTGAGATCCCTCATCCAGCCAGGCACCTGTTGCTCGTGCCTGTAATCCTAGCTACTCTCAGGAGGAGATCTGAGGATTGCAGTTTAAAGCAAGTGCAGGCAGATAAATCCAAGAAACAACTCCAACTAAACAACAAAAAGCTAGAAGTGGAGCTGTGGCTCAAGTGACAGAGTACTAGCCTTGATCCGAAAACGCTAATCAAGAATATGAAGCCCTTAGTTCAAGTCCTAGTACTGGCGTGCGTGCGCCACCCCACCCCCCACAATCCATCATATACTAGGTTCATTACTATTTCTCCCAGATGGAAGAGGAACTGATGGACAAACAAAGGGAGCTGGTAACCTGTCCTTGGGGGCATTCTGCAAGGTCACCCACAGTTGCCAGTACAGAATCCATCACCATGCTGGTCATATTCATTGATGCGTGAATGGAACCCTTTGGGGAGACTCTAGTACCCCCAGAAATGAGGTTGGCTTGAGACAAGAGCACCCCAGTTTTCCTCATCACTGGGAACTCTGCCTTGCTCCCTGATATGTATATTATACTGATGGACCCGAGGCATCCCCTGTGGTTGGGCCTGGGCAGGGGAGGAGTGAGGAGCACCTGCTTCTCAGGGCCTCTCTGCCCCGGCACTGGCACGGGCCTCTGCTCTACCAGGAACTGCATGGGACTTCTTCCCTACTTGGGAGCCCTGGGTCCTGCCAGTGCCCTGGAAGGCAGCCCAGGGCCCTGCCCAGGGGAGGACATAGGACCTCAGACACTGGCCCTGGAGCCAGTGCCCTTGGCTCTGGTCCCGGCTCTGCTTCTTTCAAGCTGCCTGTTCCTTGGCTCACCTGACTCCTTTCCCTCATCTGGAAAGCAGTGACAACAAAACCGTCCCCACAAGTGGCATTGCCAGATCTTCTCCGAATCCCACCACAACTAACAAGGCAGTTGAAGGAACAGATGGGATATTGCATGTGGTGGCTGATGAATGGAGCAGCTGAGCTCCAGTTCTTGCTTTGCTTTTTCAGCTCAAGGCTAGTCCTCTACCGCTTGAGCCACAGCACCACTTCCAGTTTTCTAGTGGTTAATTGGAGATAAGACTTTCCTGCCCAGGCTGGCTTTGAACCTCAATCCTCAGATCTCAGCCTCCTGAGGAGCTAGAATTACAGGTGTGAACCACCAGCTCCCAGCTGAGTTCCAGTTCTTTTTTTTTTGGGGGGGGTCCGGTCGTGGGCCTGAACTCTGGGCCTGGGCGCTGTCCCTCAGCTCTTCAGCTCAAGGCTAGCGCTCTACCACTTGAGCCACAGCACCACTTCTGGCTTTTTTCTTTTTGCTTATGTGGCGCTGAGAAATCAAACTCAGAGCCTCATGCATGCAAGGCAAGCGCTCTGCGACTAAGCCACCTTCCCAGTCCATGCTCCAGTTCTTAAGGGACCTTAGTCCCCAGCAGCCTGGGGCGTGGCCTGGATCCTGAGAGCGTGGGATATGGCTGTTGTCTCAAGCTGTCACCGGAAGGGGAGGAACTTCTTAGGAATCGAGGTGCTACCCCTTTTTCATCTCTAATTTGGACATGGTCACATCTTTCAGAGTGCTGGTAGGTGTTTCATGTCAATATGAGACTTGAACTCAGGGCCTTTATCCCTTAAGGCTGGTACTTTGCCTCTTGAGCAACCCTCTATTTCAGGTTTCTTGCTGGTTCATTGGAGATAAGAGTCTCACTGATGGGATGAGAAGGAGGCTCAGTGGTAGAGCGCTTGCCTTGCATGCCTGAGGCTCTGAGTTCGATTCCTCAGCACCACATAAGCAGAAAAAGCTGGAAGTGGTGCTGTGGCTCAAGTGGTAGAGTGCTAGCCTTGAGCTGAAGAGCTGAGGGACAGCGCCCAGGCCCAGAATTCTAGCCCCATTATAAATAAATAAATTTAGGAGCTGGGAAGGTGGCTCAGTAGTAGAGCGCTTGCCTTCCATGCCTGAGGCCCTGGGTTCAATTCCTCAGCTCCACATAAGAAAAAAGCCGGAAGTGGCGCTATGGCTCAAGTGGTAGAGCGCTAGCCTTGAGCTGAAGAGCTGAGGGACAGCGCCCAGGCCCAGAGTTCAGGCCCCACGACCAGACCCAAAAAAAAAAAAGTCAGGGGTCACACTGATGACAGTGAAGCCATCCTCCCCACAGCCCCCAGAAAATGCTCCTTGAGAGGCTCTGCGGCTCACACGAGAAGCCTGGCTAGAGGCTGCAGAGCTAAGGAATGAGGCTGGAAACTACGAGCCCTTATAGACAAACCCGTGAGACCCTGGCTCCAACAACCAGAAGAACGCTGAGGTAGAGCTGTGGCTCAAGTTGTACCAGGCTTGAAGAGAAAAGCTAAGGGACAGTGCCTAGGTAGAAAAAGAGAGAGAGAGACAGAGAGAGAAAGAAAGAGAAAGAGAGAGACTGGCACAATTTCTTTTACATACTTCCCACATGAGCCAAGTGAATTCAACTCTAACACTTGGGCATTGAGGGGCCCTCTACTATCGAACTAAGGGAGTGAGGAGGGTGCTCCTTCCCCAGGTATTCTGCCTTACACTCTCTCTCTCTTTCTCTCTCTCTCTCTCTCTCTCTCACACACACACACACACACACACACACACACGTGTGCATGCACCTGGCTGTAGTTCCTCATCCTTCTCAGCTGTCTTTGCCTGTGACACTGCCTGGGGGGGGGGAGGGGGGAGTGACACCCACACACATTGTGTGTGTGTGTGTGTGTGTGTGATCCACACACATTGTGTGTGTGTGTGTGTGTGTGTGCATGTAGAAACAGAGGCTTCTCCGCTCTCATCAAGCTGCTGAGGACATTGACTCAAGAGAGGCTGATAGGAGAGGCCAGTATGCAGGGCCCAGCATTGCCCTCCAGCCCTGGCTCCACGCCCATCCCCAGAAGCGTTCCGAGGCCACCTTAGCTCTTGCCTTTCCTGAGCCCACTTCTCCACTCACTAGGGGGTTCCCAGTACAGAAAAGGAAAGTGTCCCCCCCCCAAAATAAGAACAGCCTCCTCTCCAGTAGAGCCAGCGGTGGGAGAGGTCTCAGAACTAACTGACGATAGCCCTGCCTCTGATCAGGCCCCTCCCACCCCAACACTACTCGGACCTGGGGGTACATTTTGTTAATGCCATGGACTGCAGATCCTTCACGGAACACATCAGAAATAGAGCTGTGGCTTCAAGTGGTAGAGCATTAGCTTTGAATGCACTAAAAGACAGTGCCCAGGCCAAGAGTTCAAGCCCCAGTACTGGCACACAAAAAAAGGAAAAGGAAGAAAGAGGAATGAGAAAGGAAGGAAGGAAGGAAAGAAAGAAGGAAGGAAGGAAGGAAAGGAAGGAAGGAAAGAAGGAAGGAAGGAAAAAATGGTATGAATTACTGTGCATTAGTACCATGCTGCTTGTGTTGATACACCATTTTACTATGAACAAAACACTTCCCACCCAGCCTCTTCCTTCATCCTCCTACAGACCCACAAGGCAAGGATTGTTTTATTTTTGTGTGTGTCAGTCCTTGGTCTTAAACTCAGGACCAGGGCACTGTCCCTGAGCTTTTTTTCTTAAGGCTAGTGCTCTACTACTTGAGCCATAGCTCCATGTCTGGCTTTTTGGTGGTTCATTGGAGATAAGAGACTCATGGACTTTCCTACCCAGGTTGGCTTTGAACTGGGATCTCAGCCTCCTGATTAGCTAGGATTACAGGCATGAGACACCACCACCCTGCTAGGTCAGTATTTTTTTATTTTTTTTTGGGGGGGTCCAGTCGTGGGGCCTGAACTCTGGGCCTGGGCGCTGTCCCTCAGCTCTTCAGCTCAAGGCTAGCACTCTACCACTTGAGCCACAGCGCCACTTCCAGCTTTTTTCTTTTTGCTTATGTGGTGCTGAGGAATCAAACCCAGGGTCTCAGGCATGCAAGGCAAGCGCTCTAACCACTGAGCCACCTTCCCAGCCCTAGGTCAGTATTTTAATTCCAAGTCAACTAAGGAGAAACGTGAGACTCCTGACTTACCCAAGGTCCCAGGCTTATAGGCAAGAGAGAAAACCAAAACAACCCTGGTAAGCCAAGCCTGTAAGCCCTGCACACAGGAAAGTAAGGCAGGAGGGTTTCAAGTTCAAAGCCAACCTGGTCTGCAGAATGAGATCTTGTCTCGAAATAAACAACAAAACCTGCTGTCCTGCGGGCCCAGGGCCAGCGGCTCCAGCACTGACTTCTTTCACTGTTGGGTCACCCATCTGTTAACAGAGATAAGGACATCTCGTCTCTGACCGTCACCTTGCTCAGCTTCCGTACACAGGCGTTCAGCACATAGAGCGCAGCCACAGCTAAAGCATCGAGTCAGAGCTGCTTGGTGTTTGCAGGGGGCATGCTGGGTCCTCCTTCACTTTTCACAGGTGAGCCAGTACCTGGCCAGTGGGCTCCAATTCAGCAGCCCCACACACCTAACTTCCTGCCGGTGAAGGCCAGAGTGAAGGGCGGCCTGGGCTGTGTCCCCAGCTCGAGACATTATGGGGACACTGATTGTGGACCTCATTCTTTGTGCTAATAACTTGGTTCATTTCTCATCCTCGGGGACCCGCAGCTAGTGAGTTCTTAAGTACCCTTGACCACCCCCACAGTCCTGCTGGAGAGCTAGCATTATCCTATTCAACCCTTTAGGAAACTGCACAGAGAGGGAACTCAGCTTACCCAAGATCACACAGCTAGTAGGGCAGATGGCAGTAATCCCTGGGAGCTAAGAGGTCGCTTCTCATCCCTCCTATGGCCTCTCGGGTAGCCTCTGTGGGTCCCCCAGCACTGCCTGGGCCTCAGAACCCAAGAGAGGTGCTGGGTTCCCTGGCAAACTTGGTCACCAGATAGTCTTTCTGATGATGAGACTGGGCCCAAGAAAGGTGCCAGAAAGTTCCTTAAAAACAAAACCATAGGGGCTGGGAAGGTGGCTCAGTGCCTTGCATGCATGAGGCCCTGGGTTCGATTCCTCAGCACCACACAAGCAGAAAAGGCCAGAAGTGGCGCTGTGGCTCAAGTGGTAGAGTGTCAGCCTTGAGCTGAAGAGCTGAGGGACAGCGCCCAGGCCCAGAGTTCAGGCCCCACAACCGACAAAAAAATAAATAAAAAACAAAAACCACAAGTGGGCACTAGTGGCTCACCCCTGTCATCCAAGCTACTCAGAAGGCTGAGATCAGAGGATCACGGTTCAAAGCCAGCCCGGGACGAAAGTTGTGAGACTCTTATCTCCAATGAACCACCAGAAAACCAGAAGTGGTGCTGTGGCTCAAGTGGTAGAGCCAAGGGACAGCGCCTAGGCCCAGAGTTCAAGCCCCACAACCAGCCAAAAAAACCCCAAAACACCCTCTAGCTGAGACTCAGCCTGGGGGCATCTGTATAAGCTCCCCCTTGCCAGCCATGGCTGGGACCCCCCTTACCTGGCTCAGCAGCGGGGTCTGGGTGTCTCTCCACGCCTGGGTCCCAGCCCTAGCTTCCGCGCCTGTGTCTGGCAATTGCAGAAGTGAGAAAACAGTGTATCACTGCCAAGTCACCCGGGGAGGAAACGCAGTGACCGGGGCGGGGTGGGGGGGACCCCTCCAGCGGGTGCTACAGGAACCTCCAAGCAGAGCCCAGCTCTGGAAACTGTGCAGGGGAGCAGTGGGAGGGGGTGTGGGCAGTGGCTGTAGGGAGAGAGAAAGCTGGAAAGTTCCAGAAGGTATACTCAGGATGGACATCACACCAGAGAGAAGTAATGAGTGGCCAAGATGAGTCAACACGGGAGGAGGGCGGGAGGGAGGGAGGAAGGAGAGGAGAGGGCGGGGAGAGAGATGGAGGGAAAAACCCCGATGGATGGGAACTGGGGGTACAGCATGAGAGAAACGGGGAACCCAAGAGATCCGAGGTGCCAGAGGGATGTGGGGGGCGGGCAGCCTGCGGCCTGTGTGTCTGTAGGTGGGGGGACAGAGGGGAGAGGAGGAGGGGAGGACAGGGAGCGGCCACGGCCTGGCAGGAGGCAGCTGTGGTCATCAGCGTGGCTGGCAGAGCATCCTGGGGGAAGCAAGAGGCATCTGGGCAGAGAAACCCTGGGATCAGAGCTGTGGGGCTCAGGGAAGGAGGCGGGGGGGGGGGAGCTTCTCCACGTCTGAACTGGACTTGGGCAATGGTGAGTTCAGGAGTGCAGGAGAACAGGCAAAGGGGTGAGCACAGGTGAATCTGAGTGGGAGGAGGGGGAGTTGAATGAGGACTTCTGTGTGCACAAGGGAAGAAAAGAGGTAAGCCAGGGCTCCTTGCCTTGGTTTCAACCAACCAACCCATGCTTCCTGAGCAGCCCTGTGTAGATACTGTCTAAGGAAAAGCCCCCCAAGCTTTACTGATCTAACCCCTTCCCACACAGAAAGGAAAGCTGAATCCCATCAATCCTCCAACAAGGCAGGGACAAAGCAGAGCCAGGCCAGGCACTGGTGGCACACACCTGTAATCCTAACTACTCAGGAGGCTGAGATCTGAGGATTGCGGTTCAAAGCCAGCCCTGGCAGGAAAGACTATAAGATTCTCATCTCCACTAAAACCACCAGAAAACCAGAAGTGGCACTGTGGCTCAAGTGGTAGAGCGCTAGCCTTGAGCTGAAGAGCTGAGGGACAGCCCCAGGCCCAGAGTTCAAGCTCCACGACCAAAACACACACAGAAAGAAAGCAGAGCCAGGAATGAGGGCTCCTGACTCCGTAGTCAGAGCCCAGCCTCAGTTCTACCTTGGATGTCCAGGACATCCGTTCTTGCTGCCCAGGCCCCAGTGCTGCCCTTTAGCAAAGCCAAAATGACTCCCAGAAGTCAGAGTGCCTTCAATACTTGATTCAGCCCTGAAGAAGTCCAGCCCAAAATCTGCCCCTCAACTATCACACCCAGGCAGACACACTCAAAGCACATGTGCATATTACCTTTACACTCTTGCTCTTTCAGAGCACACACATTCATATGTATGCACCAAGTACACTCAAATTTTCTCTCTCTCTCTCTCTCTCTCTCTCTCTCTCTCTCTCTGTAGGTTTAAGATCCAGGCTGACCCTAGATGGGCCCATGGTGGAGTGCTTGCCTCGTGTACACAACACCCTGGGTTTGATTTTCACAAGAGAAACAGAATCAACCTTAGTTTCTTCATTTGTAACATAATCATCATAGGAGCTGGGAAGGTGGCTCAGGGGTAGAGTGCTTTCCTGGCATGCATGAGGACCTGGGCTCCATTCCTCAGCACCACATAAGCAGAAAAAGCCAGAAATGGCACTGTGGCTCAAGTGGTAGAGCACTAGCCTTGAGCTGAAAAGCTCAGGGACAGTGCCCAGGCCCAGAGTTCAGGCCCCACTACCAACAAAAAAAAGATCATCATAGCTAGGTGTCAGCAGTTCATACCTATAATCCTAGCTACTCAGAGGGTAAGATTTGAGGATCAAGGTTCAAAACCAGCCTGGGCAGGAAAAGTCCATGAGACTCTTTTTTTTTTTTTTGTTTTTTTTTTTGGTTGGTCATGGGGCTTGAACTCTGGGCCTGGGCGCTGTCCCTCAGCACTTCAGCTCAAGGCGAGCACTCTACCACTTGAGCTACAGCGCCACTTCCGGTTTTCTGGTGGTTTATTGGAGATAGGAGTCTCACGGTCTCTCCTGCCCGGGCTGGCTTTGAACCGCGATCCTCAGATCTCAGCCTCCTGAGTAGCTAGGATTACAGGCGTGAGCCACCATCGCCTGGCTCGTGAGACTCTTATCTCCAGTTAATCACAGAAAAAGTCAGAAGTGGCACTGTGGTTCAAATGGTAGAGTGCTAGCCTTGAGCAAAAGGAGCAAAAAGGAGAGCACTTAGGCCCAGACCTACTAAGTGGCAGTTGTTACCTGTGTGCACATAAAGGGCTATTGGAAAACTGACCAAGCCACAGAGTCGTGGATATTTTTTTCCTTTGTGAGAAGCAAACTCAGGGTGTTATACCCATCTATACCCAGCCTAGATCTTGAACCAGATGTCCTAGGGTGTATATGTGTCTCTGTGTGTGCTCTATCACTCGAGCCATGCCTCAAGTCTAGCTTTTTGCTAGTTCCTTTGGAGATGAGAGTCTTTTACTAGAGCCTTGAGTGTGCTGGGCATGTGTTTTACCACTGAGCTACATCCCTCACCCTCTTCTTTTGCTGCAGTATTTTTTTTCCTTGCCAGTCCTGGGGCCTGAACTCAGGGCCTAGGCACTGTCGTTGAACTTCTTTTTGCTCAAGGTTAGCACTCTACAACTTGAGGCATAGCACCACTTCCAGCTTTTTGTTGTTTATGTGGTACTGAAGAATTGAACCCAAGGCTTCACACATCCAAGGTAAGCAAGCCCTCTACCACTAGGCCTCATTCCAGCCTTGATGTAGTATTATAAAGTAAATATGTGTTATTTTATCCCTAAAGATTTCCATATAGAGAGATATTATCTTACCACAACACCACTATCACTTAATAGAATTAATACTAATGCATTAGATTCATCTAAGATCCTGTCCATATTCCAATTTCACAAAATTTCTCAAACTTGTCTCCCCAGCCCACCGCCCTTTTCCACCCCAGACACCCTTGGAGGCTGGCTGTATGGACTACATAAATGTTCTCTTCCATCTGGTTGGCTCTGACAGCCCAAGGCACTGGTGAAACATGGCAGGAAGGAAGAAGAAGAAGAGAGAGAGAGAGGGATCTTCATTCCCTGCCAGGCCACAGTTCCTGTCACATGGTCCTCCCCTGACCGCCACTCTATTCCTTTGGGTCTATGACCCTGCTTGAGGGTACAGGGAGAGGAAGGGACGTGGGAGGAAGGGAGGGAGGGAGAGAGTTTGGGAGGGAAAGGGAAAAGGGAGGGCACAGAGATGAGCAGTAGTATAGCCAAATATTGGTAATTCTGGACTGTGGGACGGTATTGCTCTAGGCTGAAGAGTGCCCTCAATGGTAGAAGGTCCGGTCGGGCCCTGGTAGCTCACGCCTGTAAATCCTAGCTACTCAGAAGGCTGAGATCTGAGGATTGCAGTTCAAAGCCAGCCTGGGCAGGAAAGTCCATGAGATTCATATCTCCAATTAACCACCAGAAAACCGGAAGTGGCCCTGTGGCTCAAGTGGTAGAGTGTATGCCTTGAGCTGAAGAGCTGAGGGACAGTGCCCAGGCCCAGAGTTCAAGCCCCACAACCACCAAAAAAAAAAAAAGTAGAAGGTCCAATTTCCCCAGAACCATTGCCTGGTATGGCAAAGATTTTGCAGATATGATTAAAGTCATGATCTTGAATGGAAGATTATCCAAGGGGCCCTTAATACAAACAATCACAAGCATCTGAGAGGGACGCAGAGGGAGATTTGAACACAGACAGGAGAGGAGAAGGCAGTGTGGCCACAGAGGCAGAGAAGCTCCCTCAAGCCAGGAATTCCAGCAGCTACCAGAAAAACAAGGCCTATATTCAGTCCTAGGTCTTCAGGAGGGAGATTTGAAAGGAAATATGGCCCTGCTGGGCTACCGCTGTTTTGGCCCAGTGATTTTGGATTTCTGGTCTCCAGAACTGTCAGAGAACGAATGTATGTAGTGGTAAACTATCAGTCTGCAGTCATTCATTAGAGCACTTGAAAGAAAATAATACAGGTATATGGGGATTTATTGTACACCTCTCTTGTGTATGCTTGAAAAGTTTCCCTGGCTGGGAAGGTGGCTCAGTGGTAGAGTGCTTGCCTTGCATGGCTGAGGCCCTGAGTTCCATTCCTCAGCACCACATAAGCAAAAAAGGAAAAAGCCGGAAGTGGCGCTGTGGCTCAAGTGGTAGAGCGCTAGCCTTGAGCTGAAGAGCTGAGGGACAGCGCCCAGGCCCTGAGTTCAGGCCCCACGACCGGAACCAAAAAAAAATTAAAAAAAAAAAAGTTTCCTAAAAAAATAGTGTATTTAGCCGGGCGCCGGTGGCTCATGCCTGTAATCCTAGCTACTCAGGAGGCTGAGATCTGAGGATCGTGGTTCAAAGCCAGCCCGGGCAGGAAAGACTGTGAGACTCCTATCTCTAATAAACCACCAGAAAACCGGAAGTGGCGCTGTAGCTCAAGTGGTAGAGCGCTTGCCTTAAGCTGAAGAGCAC